CTGTCAGTCAGTCATTCTGTCTGTCCCACGTTTTTCTCCTCACTGACGTGGTCAATCTATGTGAAACTGCACATAGGCATTGAGGACTGGCATAGGTAGAAGGTGACAAATGGGTATGGACTAGTCACTAGTATTTAGTTTATTAGAGGTGCATGGCAGGCAGCTTGGCAGGTGTCAAGGTGTCATTTTTTGCCTTAAAAACCCTGTTTTGAGGGCACAATTGAGAATCCAGACAGAAATGTCTTGGTAAAAAACATCTGCTTTTCATGCCCCTTTCAAACAGCAATGACTGGCTAGAACACAGCTGGTTTTATTGTTTGAAGGTCTCAAGCAGTTATCTGCAGCTTGGCAGAAATCTTCTCAAGGGATGCAGAAATGCAAAATGCCAACATTTTCTTCTGGAGACTGGGCTGGACATAAAGGTGTCTCAGTGGGGAGTGCAGGCAGCAGGGGAAAGACTCAAAAGCAGACAAAACAAACAGACTGGTGCAGTTCAGTGATATACATAAATGAACTTACAGGCAGGTGTTGGGAGGCAGGCACAAGGTTCTGGCAGACAGATTCAGGTCCAGGCAAAGAGCAGAGTCAGGTTCAGGTTGCTTGAAAACCAAAGTACAGGGCAGATGGTGACGAAGCTGAAAGGAACAAAGCATCAGCATGGAGTGAGTGACTGATGAGGTGAGTGAGAACAGGTGAGCAGGGGAATGAGGAAGTCGAGTGAAAATGTCTGAGGGCATCTGGTGGACAGGTCAGGAACTGCAGTTAATGGTTTTGAGGAAGTGGCTGAATGGTGATATCTCAGTAAAAAACAACCACTTCTCCTGCCATTTTCCCTGCTCGAAAGTCAGCAACGAGTTGCTATGAAACAGCAACATTTAGGGGCTCAAGGGCTGCAGGAAACACAGTGACAGGTCTCTAAATACACACACACATTCTGGGGCTGATAAGCTACAAGAAAAAACAGCCACAGGTCCAAAAATAGGAAGATTGTGATATTGTGTTAGTGGTACTTTTACTTCAGTGTAAGGTTTGAGTACTTCATTTCACAGAGACTGTAAGTAGTGTGTCAGTGAGCAATCCTTTCCCACATTATGGGCACGAGACACAGTCGAGTCAAGTTAAGACAAGTGAAGGTGTTTCTTGTCATATGCACAGTTGAAAACAGGTTTCCCTGCGCAATGAGATGCTGCTTAACAATGAAACACCGAAAGTGAAAACTATAAATACAAGATTATAAGAAAATAACAAGAAGGATACAAAGTATCTCGTAAAATCAAAAGCAACTAAGTATCCGAAAAACATTACATACCATATACAGATACACAGTGTCATCATGTTGATAACATAACTACAGAACTACGACTTGAATTTTTCCCCCCAGAAATCCAGGATGCTGCGTTCAGCGATGCCGTCCAACAGTGGACTGTCCGTCAGTGAAATCATCGCTTCAGTTTTCCATGAAGCTGTAATCTGTGTTCTCCTGCTGCAGTCATTTGCAGGTAACTTACACGTGACACACCTTCAGCTGCTGAATAATCCCTCTATACATCCCTGTGACAGCCGTGCTTTGGTCAGAGGAGAGACTGAAGACAGTGTCCAGGACTGTTGACACACATTGTCTGGTGCCAGTCAGTGTTACTAAAACACATTTAACATCTGAACACGTCTCCTGAATCTTTAAAGTGAGGTTTTTATTTGATTATGATTGAAGTAAGGCAGAGCTGCTGGTTTATTATGTGCATCTGTATGAAGCAGCCCAGTGAGACCAGTTAGTGGCGACGTTACACCTGTTGTGTTAAACTATTTACGACTACAAATTCCTGGCTCTGTGGTAGTTTAATCTTACTGGAAAACATCCAAACAAAACCTGTTAATCTTCACTGAAAACACAAATTACATTACGTCACAGAAACATTATGAAGACTTTCAGTAATGAGACAAAAATCTGAGCACAAACTGAAAGACAGTTGTTCCGTAATTTTCCTCCAGCATGTTCTGCTTTTGTGACTGTGTGGTTAGACAGACAGCTACAGGTCTCTTCCCAAACACAAGGAAGGAGAGGAAGAGACTCACACTCTCTGAAATAATGTTGTAATTTCGCCACGTAGGACCTTTATTTATCTGAATTTACTGTCCGAGCAAAAGACTGGAACACCTGCCAGCTTGAACAGAATGTGCCAACTCGTGCGAAATGGCTTTGGTTGCAACCAAAAAGAGAACAGTCAAGTATAGAACATCAAAGTATGTTATTAGAAATATTATTAGAAAGATCAAAATCTAAATCTAAATTTGGGTGCACATTCCTGGGACGTGTGCTTGCTTGAAGTAACAGTATGGCATCAGTAAGTGTGGGTATTGTGTGAGGCCAAGGACTTCACACAGTATCACAAGCAAACCAAATGGAGTAGGGAGCCCTCTGGTGTACGTGAGGTGCACATGGTTTATTATTTGTGAGACTTGGGCAGAAATGAAAACAGAAACACATCAAAAGAAAGGAAGTGAACGTCTTTATGAGCTTTACCTTTTCTGTGAGACAACAGTCCAGTCGTCAGAGGAAAATGTGACACTGTTTCTGCGAATCACAAATATGTCATAACAGCGTTACACATATGGAGATTTTTTCCTATCTTTATTCAAGAGAGTGGTCTATCAGTTTGAGAGCATTATTTATTGATTTCACGTTCAGATTTTGTAATATTGTCCCTCAAACCCTGCCCTCACACTCAAATAGCCTCTGTTTGCACTTGGATCTACTCTGTTTCTGCTCAGACTGTGTGCTCGCACTCAGATACCATGTTGCTCGCACTCAGATACCATGTTGCTGGCACTCAGATACCATGTTGCTCGCACTCAGATACCATGTTGCTCGCACTCAGATACCATGTTGCTCGCACTCAGATACCATGTTGCTTGCACAAATTTCCTGCTCCAGCTTCAGCTTTTCTCCCCGTGCTCAAACTGCTTCTGTGCACTCCTGGAATTTCTGCTCTCAGATTTCTGCCTTGCTCTTGGATCGTTTTTTTGTAACAACCCAGTCAAAATCCCCCAACAAATAGAACACCAGGTTTATTGTTGACCAATGAAATGACCTCTGCCGCTCGCTTTAGTTTTAGAGCGTCCTATCCGGGCGGGTACTCTTTGACCGGGTTCATCCACTCCCACCCTCCAGGGCTTTATTCAATGTTCTTCCCTTGATTTTTTTACGACTTTTGGAATAAAGGGACATACACGGGATTTACACACGTTACTATAATAACCACATACAGTATAATAGTACAACTCCCCCTAGTCAGTGTGCTGGAGGAGAAAACGACGTCACCTTTATCATGACTCGGGAGCGGGAGTCTAGCGGATTGCTGGCCAACATGGGCCGTCAAAGTCAACCTCAAGTAAGTTTTTCCTACTATGGTGAAAGCATGGGTCACCCTACTCTCCCTCTGATTGGCTAGTAGTCGTTGCCTTTTTTTGCCTGGATTGGTTAGCTGTAGGCATGAGGAATGAGATTGGTTAGGGTAAGAATGTCAGGGTAAGTCAATCAGACGCAGAGTAAGGCAGAGTAGGGCGGGGACAGGCGGAGTCTTGGCGTGGACATAGTAGGATTCGTAATTTCGCAACCTGGTTAAAGGGTACCCGCCCAGACGGGACACTCTAAAACTAAAGCGAGCGCGCCCGCAAAGAGGCAGGGATCATTTAATTGGTCACCAATAAACCTGGCGTTCTATAGGTTGGGGGATTTTGACAGGGTTGTTACACAAAAAAATCCAAGAGCAGAAACTCCACCAGCGCACAGAAGCAGATTGAGTGCGAGGAGAAGAGCTGAAGCTGGAGCAGGGAAGCTGTGCAAGCAACATGGTGTCTGAGTGCGAGCACACAGTTTGAGCAGAAATAGAGCGACCCATTTTTGTTCTTCCAGCAGCTTTTTAAACATCAATCTTTTTTTTTTTTTTCAGTGGCTTTTTAGACATTAAAGGTTGGTGTTTTGTTGTTACCCATCATACGCAGGTTTTTTGTAACGACACAGCTTTTTCAGCGCCCATCACTGAATTTGAGCAGCTTTTAAGGCACAAACGTAGGCGTTTTGTAGCAACCAGTCACTGTTTTACCAGTGGCTTTTTATGCATCAGCTAGTGTAGCCATTTGGTACTATCACATGCGTTGTGTAGTTTCACAGATGACAGGGACAGTCAGTGCCAGACTCTGATGCTGCTTTATTGGCATATACAGTATCTGGTNCATTCACACCTAAGTCAAACGTCTCTGCAGTAGTAACAGGTATTTACCGGCTCCAGCTTCAGTCGGCACTGATGGAAACACCCAGGTAAACACGTTCATTTTAGTCCCTGAACCAGCAAGATGCAACAACACACCACCACAAAACACTGTCTGTCTCCACCCAAGCAGCACTCAAACATTAATTCACATGAGTCTGCAGCGTTTGAAAGACAGACTGAATAAATAAGAGATTTATATTAAAAAGTAATCATTATAAAGTTTTCTCAGGCCTCCATGCTGCTTTCTGCTGTTCACTAAGCTGTTTGTGAAGTCACACGTGACAAAAAACCCCTACAAACAGAAAGGCATACTTGTCTGCTGCAGAGCTGTGTACACAGCGCTGGTCTACTGGCAATGCGAGAGGAGTCTATAGCCTATTTTTGCTGGGTTTTCCAGTGTTTAAAAAAACATGTACACACTCTAATTTTGGTGGAAAAGAGGTATTAGTTAGGCATTGACCTCTGCAGGAATCAGCACCAGTTGGTGGCACCAGTGAGTTCAACTAAATGGTGACACATTGTTGCAAACAGGAAGCTCTTTGGACGTTTAGGATGATGTAGCATTAGTGCTGTTTCCTTTTTTCTGTTGGTGACAGACAAAAGGAGGCTACAAAGGTGAGTGCAACACCCCACATGTCATTTTGTGTTATTTAGTGCTTCACTCTGAGGTGTATAAGGTGCCGTGTGTACAGCCACACTGCAGTAATAGATAGATTTATGACAGACCAGTTTGTTTTGATGCTTGAGCCTTTAATTTTGCATAAGACAAGAAAGAAGAGTTTACTTTGCAGAATATATGTGAAGGAGTGCTAAAAGCATTCTTTTCATAATACATTCAGTCTGCTCTCATTAAAGGCACAAGGCCTCAGAGACAATCCAGCTCCTGTTTATGTCACTTGTCACTTCATTCCTTCAGTAGCGTTACAGCGATAGCAAAGACAAACTCAGCTCACATGTGAGACTGAGGGTGTAAAGAAAGATGTATATGAAAGCATGCACACAACACAAGTGTTTGTGCTTTTAATGGGTTCTTCATGTCTCTGTGTCAGACCTGGAATCATCTTCTCTTCCTGGCGCAGACAGACGGTAACCGGTGGAAGCACTGACGGTCATCCCAGCACCTCCCAGCTGCAAGCAAAAAAGAAATGAAAAGAGTTTGTTGAGTCAGTGAATGTGACACAAACAAAGACTTCAGACTGTTGATGTGATCAGTGACTCCTAACTGATATATTTAGGTGACACAACACTATGGCCACTGATAAGATACAAATCATTGTCAAAACATAAATGGTGTAATACTGTGAACTGCTAACCACCAAGTGATCTGATAAAACCAAAGAATATCTGACTCAGAAAGACGTTCTTTGCTCAAGACATTTATGTCTGAGCTGTTTGTCTGAAATCCATTATGAATAATTTTAACAATAAAAACTGAACTTTATTAATTGGAGAGGGCTGTTGTCAGTCAAAGAAAATCTTGGTCAACTAAACTCATCTTATTCTTCAGCCAGCTGATTGGTCGCTGGGAAGAAAATCTTCATGTTATCTCTAGATGAACTAAATCTACCTGGCAGTGTTGTGTGTCATCCAAAGTAGGGATGCACCGATCCGACTTCCGTTTAGTGATTTATTTCTGAGGTTTATCTATTAAAGATAGATTCTGTTTGATTTTTGCAGTTTGATTTTTTTCTATAAAAAGAGAATTTAACAGTTATAACAAAATAGGACGATGGTGTTATTTCTTTTCTCTTACATCCTTTCCTGCCTTCTGAGCTAAAAACTCGTCTATCCCACTGTCCATCTTTGTGTTTCTTCTTTAAGCCAGCAGAGGGCAGCACAGTCCTCTGATGTCCAGCTCCTCTTCTGTATGATTCAGTAGGCTGTTTCAGGCTATTGCACCGCCAGAGGGGGGTTTACACATGAACACAAGACTCTGCAAACTGCCGACGAGCTAGCTAGCATGCTAAGGGTGAAATACCTCCAAATAGCAGACCCTTTTATTCACTCCATGTTGCTTGTGTTTGCCACTCTCTAATCAACTCTCACGACATGCAGCATGCAACTTTGCGGCATGCGGCACACGAACCGTATGACGTAGCCCGTGCCACAAAGATTTCAAGGGGAAGGATCGGTCTAACGGATCAGCTGCTTTTACAGATACCCGATCCAGCTATAATGTTGATATCGCGGCCGATATCCAATCCTAATATCGGATCAATAGTTCTCCACTGTTTGGTGGTCACAGTTTTTGTTCTAGGAGGCTGAAATTCGGTGTGGAGGTCGCAGCTATCGTGAATTCATGCTTGTTTTTTTCTGAGGCCAGCGCTGTAATGAGACTCAGGAGTGTTGTGTGTTTACACTCTGCTACAAACCTCAGTGTCATTATGAGGCCCTGAGCGTCTTCACTTTTCTTCACTAAGCCATGCATGTTGCTGTTTTCTTTCTGGTCACAGAGATTTGAAAAATGTTTAACTTTGGGTAAAACGCTGCCCTCGTCACTTTTTACCATGGACTGTAGAAAGAATGGACGTGGCTACATTGACGTCACCCATTTGTTTGTGGTTTTGAAGCCTCATGTTTGACACATCAGCCGTCACCATCTTGGTTTTTTGGAGCCAGAGGTGAACATAGTTGGGCAAGAGGCTGGCGCTGTGTGAGTGAGGGGTACGTGGATCTGACTGAGAGGCCGAGGACGCTATCAGCAGACAGTCTGTCACTCAAAGTGGTCGGCTCTTAATTATGTGGCTATTGCTGGCACAGAGCCATAAAAATGCTTTGGTCGACACACAGTCTTATGACAGTAACACCAGTGACTGTCCGACCAATGAGAATTTGGAGGGGCAAGAGCACATCAACCAACTGACCAGACGATGTCAGCACGATATATTTCTGAGTTAACTCACTGTATTCCTTCCTATTTTATCATTAGCATCACTGCTACAGTTAGCACTATGTTGTTTTACCTGCATGATTCATCTGCAGACAATGCTGATTGCCGCCCTGGTTATTAGGCTCTCCATGACACCAGTACTGGTAGTGGAAAGGTGTGCCATCACTCCAGAACCACTGACCATCCTGGAAGAAAGTGTAGCACAGAACATTACATAAGATGAAAGTGAAAAAATGGGGGAGTGAGGGCTCAAAAAAAGAGAAATTTAAAAAAGAAGAATTTAAGAAAAACAAGAATATAAATATGAATAAGAAACTATACAAAGGCAATTAAAGCCAAAATTACAAGACACCTGTGCCCACAGTACCCTGTACATACTGTCTCAAGTGAAGTGACATAGTGGTGTGATTAGTCACTGCAAAGTCACAAAAGTATAGTTCATGTAAGAGTAATGTGATACCATCAACAGTATTATAACGGCATGAAATAGAATATAATATAATTCATCATTAAATAAATATTATGTGTATTTGTTGTGCAATATTTCCAAGTTGTGCAATGAAAATACCTCTTCTGCATCAGAGCCTCCAATCCATGCCGGGTCGGAGCCATGAGTGAATTGAGAAATCAGCCTCTGAATATCAAAGTATTGCTGGCTGTTTTGAACAGACGCAAGGTTTCCACCCAGGGACTGACAGTTTTTCTACAGTGGAGACAAACAGAGAGACAGACGGACAGAGAGGAGTTGTCAAGGAAAGTAAGAATTAAGGCCCCAGGTCACCAAATGTCCATGTGTATGCAAACAAAATGAGCTTGTTGTAGAAGCCTCCTGAGTCAAAGTCACCAACATTACCTCAGCTCCAGCCCAGGTCATGTGTCTTGGAACATAGTGGTAACAGCGACCACCTAACAAAGACCAGCCCGAGGGACAATCTGTCGATCTCTTGACCAGGTGACTCTCTGTGGAGAACCATTAGAGTTTGGTTAATGTGGGGTCTCCAGGGAAAGTCTCCATACTATATTAAATAGATTCATTTTGATGGCACGAAGAAGCTACAACATAACATAATATTACATGACACAACATAAATATAATATACGTGAGTTAACATAACACAATATTACATAACAAGACAAAATAACAATACATCATCAATTAATATATATGTAATATAATATACAACATAAACATAAAAAAATTGCAACAGAATACAAACATTGGAATACATAACATAGCCCTATATGAGTAATAAAAAGCAATATAACGTAATAGGATATAAAATAAGATAAAGTTACATTAGCATCTGACACAAAGCTTTTATCAGGAGAAACTGCTCATTGACATTAAACACAGGTGAAGTCATCACAGCAGAGCATCATAACAACCACATTCTGTTGAAGTGAAAATCTTAAAGCCACTCACCTGTTTCATTTTGGGGAGTTTCCTCTGGAGGAGCTGGAAAGTTTGACACTGCAGTTATTGACTTGGACTGTTTGTGTTTATTAACATGTGTACCGTATGTATTATACTCACCAGCAGCTCTGGTCAGAACCATCATGGCACAAACAAGTGCAGACACAATCAGCATCTTCATGGTGACGATGACTACGAGAGACAGACGTGTTAGTGAGACTTGTTTAGGGAACAGCCGTACTGACTTTCAGTCCTGTGAAGAAATGGAGTCCATGTCATTGGTCCGACAGCCCATTAGTCCGACTGTCCGCGGTGCTGAACGGCTCCCGGCAGGCGTATTTCTACCTTGATGGTGCGCCGCGACCGGCTCTGGGTCAGCTGGGAAAGGCTTGAGGCGGAGCAGGCTCACGGCTTATGTGTTTGTCACTTTCTTTTTCATTTTAACCCACACCATGATCTTTTCCTGACCCTAACCAAGTGGCTTTTGTGCCTAAACCTAACCAGACCTTAACCACAGGGCATCATGATGATTTCGGAACGGACTTCGGAACAATGAGTTTAATATGGTTGGAACAATGGGCTGTGGGACCAATGGGCAGTTTCCGAATAAATGTCAGAAGATGATAAAGTTTGGTGCAAACCTGCTGCAGGACTTTCTTCTCTTCTTCTCTTTGGAGTGTCTGTAGCTTCAGCAGACCCTGTGAGGATGTGCGGATGAAGATGATGACCAGTTCTTATATACTGTGCAGACAAAGGTTAAAATATTTACTAAAGATGTTGTCTTAATAAATGTCATTCCTTCCTTGGAAATTCTCTCAATGCTTCAAACAGCCACATCAAGACACGCCATGAAACAATGACAGTATCATCATATGTCAAATTTACATTCAAATGTAGTGCAAATTTTAACTGAACGTCCAAAAAACAGCAACAGAAAATACAAATTAATGTCCGTTTCCATCCATTAGTGTTGTGTGAATATAAGAAGTTGGTTAGTTTGACTCACAGGGTGTAGACTGTGGTTATCAGCCTGCCATTAGCTGCCTATTTCAGACAGAATTCACCTCACATTCTATTTGCATCTTACTGTTCTCAAAATCCCCATCACTATATGAAACAACAACAACCTCCAAGCTCACAACCTACACACCAGTGACGGCCAAATGAAGTCTCAAGAACCATTTTCTTTATTTTCTGAGCCCACTAGATGGCGCCCTCTGCAACCAATGGTTGAAAGCACACTGAACTGCAGTCTGAAGTCATCAACGTCGTCAGAAACCAAAAGCTACCTTTCATGGAGGTATGATATTCTGCCCGGTGGCCGGATGGCAACTATCATGACAGTATGATATGCGGCCGGACAATATCAGTTCATAACGCGGCTGGACACCACATGGGTATGATACACCATTGCACTGTTGCTTGGCGGAATACACCACAGCCCCTGCAGACCAGACCAGGAAACCCTGCCTACTAATGGAGTGACACCTGTTTTCAGTTTTCTCATTTTTTCCCTTCTCTCCTTTGTGTATGGTGGCTGTTCAAGAGTGATGCCATGCGTGAATATCTACCCCGTTGACCACTGGTAACACTACTCATTCCATCATCGGTAAAGAGACATGAACCTTTTCCTCTCAACATAGGTGCTTTAAAGGGCCAGTGTGTAAAATGGGTTGAAAACCATTGAAAACAGTGACATCAGTGGTCAAATTCTAGATTGCAGGGCTCACTCGCTCACCCCTCCCATCGGGTAAATGACAGTGACCTCGTAGGGACAAAAAGCCTTGCGCAGACAAGAGTTTTTCAGGAGTAGGTCTAGTGAAT